TAAAAATCGGGAAATTAATGAAATTAAAACTTTGAAACGTTAATATTTTCAGAAAAATAAACTCAACAAAACGGCTATCTTTATTTTTTTTTTGAAATAATTAAATAAAAAAATATATTTTTTAACTTTTTTACCAAAACATTAAAATATGAAATAATTGTAGTTCTTATCCCCGTGAGTCTTATTACAAAACCAGAATTTTGATATCAGCATTATTTCGGGAGATATCGCAATGGGTAAATCCTCACGGGACACCCTGTATATATTTAATTATTAGTATATCACGTTAAAATGTTAAAATATTATATAAATAGGATATAAATACCGATACATAGATACCTATTTATATAGTGAATCTCGTGTACCTTTGATTTTCGCCCATTAAAACCAAAATTACCAATATTTGTATGCTTAATTCTATTTTTATATCTTTAATATCAGATCGATCGTTTAATATATTTTTTAGAGTCTGAGCAGAAAAATTATATTTTTTTATTTCTTTAATTAATTTAATTTTCGTCTGAAGAAAGAAACATTTACTATGCCAGTATAAACTGCTATGATTCATATAAAACTTCATGGTGATAAGGAGGGTCCTGAATTCTTTTGCAAGTAGGATGGGAAGAGTGGTTAAATGTACTTTTAAAAATAAACGGAAAGATTTTGAAATTTTTACCCAAGACCAGATATACCTACGCCTAATAAGATAAAAAAAAAATTACATTTGTATAAGTATTTTCTATAAATGATGTAATTTAATAATAAAAAATGTCAGTTCTTTTTATAATATAAATTGGCTCTGTACCGTACAATAGATGATATATGCAATTTCTCTGCTTTTTATTTTTTATTATTGTATGATACAATTTTTGGTTGCTGGTAAAATTTAATCAAGGTTCTTCGTAATTTGATGTTACATGAACAATAATACCGAAAATACATAATTACACAATTTCAAAGAATTCAAAATTTAAATTACAATTTACAAAAATATGAGTTGAATCAACAATTGTTAACGTAAAACATATCAACAACTATATGAGCTCCATATATATCTACACAGAACGAAAAATCTCATTACAATTTACAAAAATATATGGTCCTTCATAAGTTTTTCTTACATCAAAACATCAAAAATCAATACGCACAATTTTCTTTTATAGACATTTTAAGTTCGATATAGACGAAAATAAATAAATTATTTTTGTCATTTTTTTATAATTCAAACAATTTTGACAGTAGGAGCTTGATATTATTCTCAATTTCGTATACCTAGTATCAATTAGTCTGCATAATATTTAAAAAAAACATTTAGACTGATTTGAAAAAAAATATCAATACAAACTATGTAGGTATACCAATATAAGCTAATTAGGTAAGTATTTACAATATACTGTTATTCGGTATTCGCACTTATAATCTATAAACAATAATAATAGATGATAAAGTATAATTATTTATTATTATTATATAACATTTGCGATATGATTTTGGCCAAATCTAGTTTTATGGTTTCTAAATTAAAAGTAGATATTTTTTATTAGAAAAATACACTATTGATTTCAATATGAAGTATACATATTATAAATTCTAAAATACTTTTAAAATTAGAGGCTGGCATACTGTTTCTACTAGCAGTTCGTATACAAAGTGTTAGGTATATTGTTATTGTTACAGTATGATCTACTCAATGGCAATATAAGTAGGTTCTCGAAACCCATTATACCTACAGCAAAATTACTATTGTTGCCCATAATGTTTTTAATAATAAAAAATGTACATTTACATAATAATATCAATTTAAATTTAATTGAAAAACATTAATAGATATAAAATATTTTAGTAAAATATCATACAAAAAGTATCGTTTAAAGGATAAACCATAATAAGCTGATAATATCATATAATATGTACCTATTGTACCTACATTTAAATACAATGTTATAAATATCGATGTATAGTAATAATTAAGCAACTTAACTTATGGGTAAAAATTTAATATATTCAATTTTTTTTTTAGCTAGGAGCAGCACTTGGATTTTTAATACCACCGATGATAGTACAGGACAGCGATAACTTAGAAGACATAGGATATGATTTATGGAAAATGTTTATATCGTTTGCTATTTTGAACACTGTAGTATTCTTTTTAGTTATTTGGAGTAAGTATTATTTACTTGTGTGTGTTTGTCTTACATCAAAAACAAATGTTATATTATTTCAGTTATACAAGCTGAACCACACATAGCCCCAAGTAATGCCCAAGTTGTACAAAGAAAAAAAAGAGACGATCCGGCAATATTACAAGACGTATTCATGAGCTCGGTTAAAGAATTACTAAAAAACAATGGTTACATTTTATTGCTTATATCTTACGGTATTAACGTCGGTGCATTTTTCGCCATATCAACTTTGCTCAACCAATTTATTTTGCTCTATTTCCCAGTGAGAAAATTTAAAATATATAAATATAACTCATACTTGGTACATTTATTATTTTATTTTAGGGTCACGAGGAAGACGTTGGAAGGATTGGCCTCACGTTAGTATTATGTGGCCTAGGTGGTTCGATTATATGTGGATATATTTTAGATAAAACACATCTCTATAAGTAAGACACTTATATTATATGAACAAAACGTATGTAACATTTTATCATGCATGTATTTGATATAATTTTCTAATACCAATTATAGTATAGAATATTTACAATTATTAAAATAAATTAGATACCTCCTATTACTTATTAGGTACCTAGAATAATTATTACCGATAATATTTAATCATAAATTAACCTCTGTATATGACCTTACCTCGCGCCATGATTGCAAACATCAGAAAAGATCTATACATTCCAAGAAATCAAAATATTATTAATAAATATAGTATTATTATTCTTAATTATTTATATTAGCACAACAGTCACCTTTGATTAATGATCAAGGCTTGAAAAGAGCTCTTTTCATCAAATAATAGCTAAAAAATGATCTGATTCGGAAGCAGAGAAAATATACAAATATTATTCGATAATGTCCGTATTTTTTTTTTTTTGTTATTAAAGAAATAACCCTCGGCAACTTGGCCATTGGGATGAGATAATTTTTTTTTTTTTGAAAGGTGTTACATGATAATAATAAAAAAGGTTTAATAATTATAAATATCTAAATTAATGTCCGTATTAATATATACTTATACATACTAATTTAAAATACTAACTAAAAATATAATACAAAACATTTACAAATTTTATGATTATTCAATATAATTATATGAAGATGAAACCAGATACCTATAATAGAATTACTAATTAGTAATTGATTTTTATCATCCTCTACTTTGTCACCTGGTTGTCGGTTTGATATCGATGGAAGATCAATTCCATCATTAAATATTGGGTCTACATAAGCTAGGTATATTATCATTAAACATAATATAATCTCTTCATTGGGTCAATGATATGTAATATGTATAAAATATGAAAATTAAAATTAAAAAAATTATACATTTTAATGGTAAAAAATTTGATTAATTATAAATAATGATATTTTATGATTCTTTTATAAAAATAAAAGCATCTCAAAAAAATATCTCCAATTTGGKAAAAATATAACATCATTAATGTGTTCTATGCATATTACTGATTTTGTTACACATTTTTTTTACCCCAGATATGAGACATCTTAATGTCGAAATTAATAAAAAAAAATCATTGTATACCTACAACAAAATTATTTTGAGTAAAGGAAGTATAAGTGGTGATCAGTTGTTATTTAAAATAAATAACTAATATTTATAAGATAACTTAGATAACTAATGATTATTAAAATTGAACAAAAATTTTATCGATAAGTTGGTATATAAGTATCGTTCAAAAATTACAAAAACCTGTTTACAATCCAATACATTATTCACTTCATTCATAATCTAAAAGTACTTACATATTATTACTAGGTATCGCATATTTTTTAATAAGTACTTATTGATATTTCTATCTTGTACCTATATTGAAAAACATTCTATTTTATGTTATATAAATTAAATCACATTCGAAATTTAAAACTTAAAATTACATATTATACAAAAGAACCAACTGCATATGACCTACAAATAAAAACTAAAAACATGTGAAAATTTTACTACGTGAAAAAAACAATATTAGTATAGGTTATCTTTTGATTTATAATGCATACATTTAACAATTTTAATTTAAACTTGCTGGTAAGATTTAGAATTCAAACGCTATCTCAATATAGTGTCAAATACCATCGACAACTACCATGTTTTTTGCATTTATGTAACAATGGATTAATTTTCTGAAATTACTATTTACTTTTTACAGATTATAATAAATAACAAGTAATTTAGAATAATATTTCAATATAGATATTCAGTTGTTATACTCCAACAATAAATTATCGTTATATTTATAGGTATACCTATTGGCTATTACCTTTTAATTTAATGTTTAAAAATAATTGTAAGTTATCATAACAATACATTTTAATTTAAAAATTTTAATTTACTCAAGTATAAACAAAAACCATGGTTGCATATGTATTAATACGAATATGTACCTGAAACGTAACACACAAAAAATGTATACTTTCACCCGTTATAACAAATTAAAGTACATTTTAAAATTGTATGGTTAATATTATTTCATCAATTCACTATCCGAAAGATTTATTAAATTTATCACATAAGTAACCTAATCCTAGTAATACAATAATAATATGTTTAATATAATATGTATAAGACAATTCTTATTTTTGACCTTTGTGGTTTTTATTAAGATGTGTAGTCATGTGTAGTACCATATACTGAGTGTAACAGAAATATATGATAAATTAAACATATTAAAACATATAAAAGATATGAAATGCTGTCATATACTTTTGTTACACTGTACATCATAGGTACATAATACTATAATAGTATACTTGAAATTCAAAGATAGTTGACATAATTTTTCTAACATATTGCATAGGAACTTCATCTTCAAATTCTTAATCCAGCATGGTTGTTACCTATCTATACATTTTATGAATTACGGTGTATGACAATTTAACTTCATAATCGTTTAAGAGAAAAATAATATTAAAATCGACGATTTACACTTACAGAGAGACTACCCTGATGGTTTACGGCAGTACATTGATCTCAATGTTGATCTATACGTTCAGCCTGTCACACGGTCAATCTATTTGGATAATATACATTACGGCTTCATTATTGGGGTAAGTTTGGTGCCAAATATAATTTATCGCAGTATACATTACATTTTAAAAAATAAAACGATATCAGCTAGTATATCATCAATAATACCGCGTCACAGGACTACTGCAGGAGGCGCATCATAAACAGGGTGATAAAGGAGTCGAAATCTCAATGTGTATATATATTGTATATAGGTATATAAAATACCTACTCCTATTATTTTGTATATGTGTCACAAATGTGTATTTTATTTGATTGAGTGTTAGTGATTTTATTGGATATTTATAATATTATGCGAAGAATTATCAATTCATAAAAATACATATTATATAAATGCTTAAATCACAAAATTTAGGTAAATTAATAATAAATAATATTTAAAGCTATGGAGCAGAATCGTTTCCGGGAATATAAAAATATTGAAATAAAAAGTTTTATAAATCATTTTTTTTCTCATAATAAATTGTTAGCTTCTTATTTTATATATAATAATATTATCGAGTTACAATTAATCTTTAATCGGATGTTGAAGTTTATAGATAAGGAATTCAGTCCAAAGCACGTATTAGGTTTTCTGGTCTTGTTTTACGTATTTTTTTTTATTATTTGTATAATAGACAATATAGCTACGGTATAAATATAAAAATATACATCAACGTTTCGAAGTTTTATTCGGTGCTATAATCGTTATGATAATCTCTACGTGGATTCTACATTTTTATCACAGCTTACATTATGTAGGATGCACTATAATATAATATTTTGTCATATTATTATATATTTGTGTTTATAATGATAGGGTTTTTTATAATTATACATTAAACTAACAAGGATGGTAGCCAAGAACATGTGTAATCCAACGGTACAAATTTCATAACGATCGCACAATTTTTACATTTTAAATTAATTTTTAAGCGTAATATTTGCAATAAATCCCTGATGGTTCTTCGAACTCGATCAAACTCCATCCGTCTTCTATTGCACTACAAGAGTATCAAATATAAAATTGGTATGGCTGATATAGTCTACAACATGCCTAATAAAATTGTGAAGGTATCAGGTCGATAGCTTTGTTCTACGATTTTAATTTTAATTTATAAAACTGATATTTACATAACTTCCGGATGATTCAACGTAATCTGAAACTCCACCCGTCCGCTCAGTTACTACACTACTACAGAGTACAGGGTCTTTGATTCTTATGCATGAAACTATCATAGCCTATACTGCTTATATAGATCACAACATTTTCAATAAACATTGAACAGTTCAAGCTAATAGCGTGGTTGTACCATTTTCTATGAATCTTTATATAAACGATAACCATTAAAATTCACAATACCGGTGTAAGATACACACCATCGACCGAGTCTTCATATTACCTATTTAATAATAAAATTTACAATTTGTAAAAATATTTACCCACGAATATCTCGCTAAATACTGATGTTAGTGAGGGGAGGGGTTAATCTCCCTCTTATCAGAAATCATGCCTAAGCCACTAGTTCGTTTATCATAAATATTTTGACTTTTATAACATTCGAATGTTTTGCGGTGAACAAATGCACAATTCAGATACTATTTTGTAGTTAAACGTTTATAGTTACAAACGCCATAATGCTAAGTATTATATTTTAATATATTTTTGTTTTAAATCATATTTCGTCATAATTTTTTAAAAATATTTTAAAGTTTGATTCGGTTTTGAAGTTTTGATGTAAAATTTAAATATTTTGTATACAGTGAAACCTCATTTAACGGACACTTCTCAATAGCGGACGCCTCCAAATAGCGGACGACGTTTAAGCGACCGAGAGTGTCTGGTATTTAGAGGTTTCACTGTATGTGTTCACAAATCAGAGACCTAAACATATACTATTAAACAATTTAGGGAAAAAAACTGTGACATAAATCTGGTAGAAGATCATAGTATACTAATTTATTATTATTATTGTATACGTAATAATTTTTCATATTATATAAAAATGAAATATTTGTATAACACATATTTTTCATACACCGTGTGCATAACATTTATCTATTATAGAACCTAATATATAACTMTTATGACTATGCATGATATTATAGGTTGTTCATGACTGGATATCTTCCGGTCGGCTACGAGTTAGCCATCGAATTAACGTACCCAATCCCTGAAGGCACGTCCAGCGGTCTATTAAACGGTGGTACCCAACTGATCGGTTTCATACTGACGTCGATTTACAGCTGGGTGTTCAGCACCATGGGTGATTTGGCGGCCAACATGATGATCGTCGGATTGCTGAGTTTCGGGTTCTTGTTGACAATATTCATACCGACTGACCTGAAGAGACAGGCCGCACACAAGGCGATCGACGAGAAACAAAAATTGGAATTTGGACTTTGATTAGTATATAGCATTTTATTACAATCTTCGTCGTATCTTATATTGTTACCACGTGATTCATTTATTGATGTATTCAATTTTTGTTTTAATTCGTCTTGATAACATTTCATTATCATACTACTGTGTACATAATATAATATATATTATTATTAAGAGTTTATGACTAAACATAATATGCATACGGCAATATACAAACGCAACCACGGTCACGGACAATCATTTCGGTTTCCTGTACCGAATGCATAAAATTCAGATAMTATTATAATACTGTAGTGCACTAATGTTGGTATAATGTATATACACATAGATAGATATATTTTAGACAGAGCTGGTGTCCACTGTATAGACATCGTTTCGTTTTCGAATGCACCCATCTTTCCTTTCACTCTGCATCGTCCGACATGAGACATGACAACACGATACGATTATAATAATTAATAATATTACATAATATCACTCTATATGTTTGTACGGCCTCTGAATATAAATTCCAAAATTACTGAAATTCCTCGAATTGTTAACTATTTAATCTTCAGACAGGTTTTCGATACCCCGATCAGTGGGTAAAAGATTTTATGTAAACTGCAATAATTAAATATGTTTTTCAAATAAAATAATACTGGCTAGAATATTACAGGTTTACTCGTCCAATTGTCTTTAACACGACATTAATTATATTCTATGGTGAGTTAATGTGGGATTTTTGTCTTTATCAAAAAATTTTAAGCGTATATTTATTCCATACTCTTTCAGTTATACTAAATCTCCCTGCAAGATACAATAATGATAATTTATAAGCAATAAAATATTATGTTTTATGTATGTTTAATATTTAATTACATATATGCATATACCCGGTAATTCATAGAACAAAATACGGATGTACCTAACCTATCTTCGTTTGTTTCAAAAAACCACTGCTTTAAAGTTTAAAATGTTACTAAGCTTACCCATTTTTTTATGTGATTAGTTTATCATAATATATTGTATCAAAATAAATAAAATATATAGTTTTATACCTAATAATATAATAGTAGCTAATTTGGGCGTACCTAATTAATACCTTTAAGTATAGTAACTTATTAATATAATCGAAGCTAATTATTTAAATTTTAGAGAAAAAGAAATGTTAAATAACAAAATACTTGCATTTTTGCTGCACTACCTACTCCTTTTCTCTAAATTATAGATAAAATATTTTATTAATTGTAAATATTTATGAATAATAGCCTATTTGCATCGATATGATTTTTAATTATAGGGATTTAATTGTATAGGTACTTTTTTTTCATTAATCATTATTCATTATATATATTAATATGATAATCTATCACTGTATCTTGTACCATAAACAATTAAGCAATATCAGTAATAATATCGTTTCACTAGAAGCACATAGGTACTAAATTAGATGATATATAGCCTATATAGGGGTCGGAACTGCAGCCAACATTTTAATTTTTATATTATCTGATAAACTAATATGTATTGTATTTGTATATAATTATATTTCATTGAGTTCTCGTGATTTTACAAGAATACTTACTGAATACTTAATATTATGCATATGTATATAATTGCCTATTCATAAATAATTATATAGATACCTAATTACAAAATAAAGGTGAAAAAGTATAATATAATCATTAATGCTATAGAGCTGAATCATTTCCGAGAACACAAAAATTAAAACATAAGTTTTTATATATCATTTTCTCAAAATTAATTGGTATAGCTACTTAATGATATTATTTTAAAATATAATTTTAAAATAAAGAAAAATGGTATTATATTCATGTCGAAATAAGTATTTATCAACAGGTTAATGTGATTCGTTATAATATAATAATAATATTAGCGTGATATTAATAATCTTTAATCGGATGTTGATAAATAAGGAATTCGGTCCAACGCATGCCGGCTTGTCTTACGTATTTAATTTGTATGATAACCAATAGACAATATAGCTACGATAAGAATAAGTATACATCACCGTTTCAAAGTTTGGTATTCAGTGGTATAACCGTTGTGATAAACACCATGTAAATTTTATCGTATTTTAATTAATTGATATAAAATTATTCAATATAAATTTAATAACTTTAGGTATCATAAATGTTTTGACTTTATAACATTCGAATGCTTTGCAGTGAACAAATGTACAATTCACATATTTTTTTTTTAAATGTTTATTTTTATTTTCACATTTAATACAAACTTTATCATATAATTTGTATTTGAATGCTTTTCTTTTTTATCATATTTCGTCATAATATTTGTCAACGTTTTTAGAATATTTTAAGTTTAATTTAAAATGTAAATATTTGGTTTGTGATCAAAAATCAGAGCCCGTTACATAGTTAAAAAATTGAACTAAAAATGTGTAATCTTTTGGGTATAAAATCATAAGTGTGATAATTTTTCGTATTATATGAAGATAAATTATTTGTACAATATAGACATGGAAATTTATGTATAATTTAGTTAAATATCATTAAATATAACCTTTTTAATATGACCATACAAGATATTTTCAACTGTTATGACTGGATATCTGCACGTGGATTTAATTGGTCCCCGCGAAAATAACGCAGTATGCGGACAATTGACCGCTGTCATAATACATTTTATGCATGGGTAAATTGATCCCTGGCTTAAAATTTAAACACAACATATTTTTTAGCATAAACGTAAAAAATAATTAAAAAGATAAATACTTATAAGTACAAAATACTTTATGAATAAAATATATGGTCAAATACAAAAATTACAATAAATATAATGTCTCGCGAGAATAAATCCTCAATAGTGTTCATCGGTTTTACAGCAAGACATAAGGAGTACAAATAATTCAAAAATTCATCTTTAGAAAAGTGAATGCCAAAACTATTAACAAAAAGATAACTCTTAAGCCGGGAACCAATGCCCGTGTATAAAATTATGACGGGGACCGATTGTTTGCATACGGCATTTTTATGCGTGGGCCAATTATTGTCCGTTTACCCTGCACGTCGGCTATAAGTATCGAATGTACCTAATCCCACGAAGATACATCTGTTAAATAGAAGCACCCAACTAATCGGATTCGTCTTGACGTCGATTTACTGCAGTGTTCAGCGCCCATGAGAGTCAACATGATGATGGTTGGGTTGCTGAGTTTTGGATTTTTGTTGATATTCTTCATACCAACTGACTAGAAGTGGAATACCGCGATATAATATTTTATTGTACAAAATGGTACAAGGACTATAGTACGTAAAATATTGTATTACAATATTCTATGTATTCTGGATGCATTTGATGTATTCTTTTCTTCTTTTTAGTTCGTTTAGGTAAAATTGTATTATGATATTATAATATTGTTTAATATATTATTATTATTACGAGTTAACGATAAGTGAACATAATAAATATACAAATATACAAGCTCGCCCACGGTCAAGGACAACGATTTTGGTTTGCTGCACCGAATGCATGGAATTCAGATAATATTATAATATTGTAGTGCACTAACGTTAGTATAATGTATTATGTAAATACATAGGTAGATAGATATATTTTAGACAGAGCTGGTGTCCACTTTATAGACATCGTTTCGTTTTCGAATGCACCCATCTTTCCTTTCACTCTAGCTGCATCGTCCGACATGACAACACGATACGATTATGATAATTAATAACATTACATATCACACTACTTGTCTGAACGGCCTCTGAATCAGAATTCCAAATTACTGAAATTCCTCGAATTTTTAACTATTTAATCTTCAAACAAGTTTTCAATAACCCGATCAGTGGGTAAAAGATTTTTTTAAACTGGAAAAATGTTAATTATAATAATATGTTTTTTTAACGAAATAATATCATTGATTTTATAATTTACTAGCTGATCTCCGTGCACTTTGTTTCCCATTAAAAAACCAACTCTATATTAACTATATAAGATTAAAAATAATTTGGTTATAATTTCTCGTTTAATCCCTGCAGGCTAATCATTTTCAAAACTTATTAAAAATGTATTAAATATATTTACATAATTTATTAAATATCAAAACTAATTGGTTGAGTAGTTTCTGAGAACATTAGCATCAATTAAGGTTTCAATTTTTGATTTTATATACCTATTAAGATTTAAGGACATAGTATATTATAAAACCAACAATTTATTACCTTGAATTTTAGTATAATACACGTTCGAATAGTTTGTTTTCTAAACATTTTTATTTTATTCTATGATGGGTATGTCGGATTTTTGTTTCAATCAAAATATAATAAACATACAATAATCACTATTCACCAACATAGTTATTTTACGACTTTTTGCCATAAGCATTTTTTTTCTTCTTGAGTCTGAATTTAGGTTATAAATTAGGATACTGTATTTAACATTGTTAGATGTATTACAAAAATGCATCACTAAGGACATTTTATTATGCTATATTTTTCTAAACACTTTATCTTAGGATAACTTGATTATACATATATAATATATATTATACATATTGTATAGGTATGTCATGTTGTTTTTAACTACCTTGTGTTATACTCCTCCGATGGTATTTCATATCATATGAAACAATCAAACAATTTCATTATTTAAGATAATACTACACGCATGTTATATTCGTTTTGCGCAGGAAAGAAGAGAAAGCTACTCAGTGAAAACTGAAAAACTAAAATTTCACACATAAAAAGCGGGTAGGTCGTGGATGTCGCTCTGCTGTACAGTAGGTAATAAATGGGTTACTGTAATGGATGGAATTAAATTTTATTCTTGCAATGATATTATATCATTGTATACCAAAAACGATTCTGAGTGGAGGCGGTTTATCTGTCTAAGATATATTATAGATTATTACAAATTTACAAATCTTACTAATCTTAGAAATAAAAAGAAAATTTTTATGAATTTCTAGCTTAAAATAATTTGCGAATTTTCGTGATTTTACGTATGTTGTAAAAATTAAAATTTGAATTCTTGTAGAAAAAAAATGGTGACTATGTATTTCTTTTATATTTCAACTGCTATTGTAAAAATATTTTAGGAGCCTTGTATTAAATTTTCAAATCTTAGATTTAAAAAAAAATTTTTAAGAATTTCCATCTAAGATAATTTGAACATTGCCGTAATTTTTACGTATTTAGTCAAAATTTGAACTTTWATGCTTATAAAAAAAATTTGTGACTATGTATTTTTATAATTTTTTAATTAGTATAAGAATAACTTATGAGGAACTTTGTATTAAATTTTCAAGCTTTTCTACCCAGCAAATAAATTTTTATCGATATTTATAGAAAAAAAAACTAAAAAAGTTGAAAAATTAAAATGTCAGTAAACAGCTCAAAACAAATCTAAATATTTTGAAAATTGTATCAAATATATAAAATGTCTATATAAAAATTCAGTGAAAATGTCAAGTATCTGCGGTCATTTGCTTTAGAGTTACACCAAAATAAGAAAATCGCTAAATGTGAAATCCTGCAGTGAAAATCCAATGTT